AAGGAAACAACAATGTCCATTACAACGTCACTCGAAGTCGGAGGCGAGAAGCGCGTAACTGAAACACCAGTAGGCAGTAGCCAGCGTCGACACAAGGACATACGGCTAATGGAATTTCTTGATGAAGTCGTGAATGTGTTTGCTGATTTCATCAGGCTTTTCTTGTTGCAGAAAATGGGCAACTCCTTCCAGTACAACTACTTCTTCCAGAAGCGGCACAAATTTCTTGAACCCGCCTTTGTGTATGAAGTCCGGAGCACCTTGAGAGTTGTAAACTAGGTCCTGATCTCCCACAACGAACTTCACAGGAACTTTCACTTGAGCCCCAGTCCATGGTGCAGTCAGTTCCCAATTTCTGCATTGTTAAAGCGGATGAAATTAATTAAAACAACGATTAGCATTAGAGTCATCGACACTCGACAACATAAGTTCGAAAAAAATTACGTACACGTCCAAATTCCGATAGTAGTTTACGGGGCCGGTGAAGCCCGTCTTGTCAAATTTGGCGGTGTAGTAGTTCACATCATCCTCAGACAACCAACTTGGCAAGACAATAGGAGTATCTGTGGGATGTCCAAATCCTTTGCCTTTAGGCAGGAAAAGTGGACCAGGATTCCTATATGTTAGAAACTCCTTGATAACTCTTGTAGTGCCCATCTGAGCAAACTCAGCTTCTATCACTCCTGGCTCCTACAAATATGAGTAATTTGTCCAGTCATAAGCAAAAATTGCAATTGATATCTGCGGGTATGCGGTTTCAGAATTACATACTAATGTTTTCTTGTTAAACAAACATTAATATTTCTTAGTAGAACGATAGGGTTAGCGGGTTAGACTTACATAGTTAGTTGTTAGGGGGAAAAAAATCGGTAGAGATCAAATCCGTACCATAATGCACACGCATGACCGCTTTCACAATATGATAAAACCCATCTACAACTACAATATTTTCGAATAAACCCAATTTGATTATTAGTTCAAATTCGTAGTCTAGCCAGCAACAGAAATATTCATAGCAACTTCAACCTAAAAGAAAAAAAAATCACAATCAATTACATTACAATAAAACGCTCATACATCTATTTTTATTTTTCACTCATTTTCATTTTTAACCGTTTGATCAAATAAATTGACAACCAATATACAAATTAACAAAAACGAGAGATTCAAAAAAAAAATGTAAATAGCCCTACACTTTAAAATATTTGCTTTTGAAAGGTAGAAAACGTAATAAAAAATAATATTGTCACATCCTATTTAATGTAAAATAACACTTTGGGATTCAGATTGATTACACACAGAGAGAGACAGATGGTCGTTTTCAATATGCCAAGACAGTGTAGGCAGTAAGCTCTTTAAAATAATTGCTTCCAAAATGAAGATGTCCACACAAAATAAGAGATTCGAAGAAGACTCAAACATGAGGACAGCCAATCCTGTCCATAAAAGGTAAGCTTTTTAAAGTAATTGCTTCCAAAGTGAAGACGTCCACACACACTTTCTATTTTTCATATTTTTGTAATTCTGATTGTCATATCAAATCTGTCAATTCTTCGAAATTTATTATTCTAAATTGAAAATTTGAAAGTCGAAAATGCAAATTCGGAAGGACAATATGTACCTCACTAACTAATTTGTGTAAAGATGATTAAATGTTAAATCAAATTGACAATTAGTGACTGATGTGGAATTTTGTGGGGCTCAAAAATTCCCCAAAAAGGAAAAAAAAAGGTACCGAACCTGAAATCTGCACATGTAGTAGTCATCGCCATAAGCAGCATGAAACGATTCGATGACCTTCCTCCGAGGGTTTCGCGGCATGAACTGCACGCTCAAGCTGACCAAGGCTTTGACCCGGTCGGGCCGGAACAGGCAGAGGTACCAAGCGATGAGGGCGCCCCAGTCGTGGGCCACCACGAACACCTTCTCCTGATCGGGTGCGATGGCGTCCAGGAGCGCCACGAGGTCTCCGACCATGTGGAGGCAGGTGTAGCTGGAAGGGGAGGCGGGGGCGTCGGTATCGCCGTACCCTCGGAGGTCGGGGGCGACGGCGCGGTAGCCGAGGGCGGAGAGGGAGAGGATTTGGTGGCGCCAGGAGTACCAGAGCTCAGGAAAGCCGTGGAGGAAGAGGATGAGTGGGCCATTCCCTTTCTCGGCGACGTGCATGTTGATGCCGTTAACTTGGACTGTTCGGTGCTCTATTCCCTGAGACTCCATGATCGGCTATCGCTCTCTCTCAAACTCTCTCTGTTACTTTTTTGTAATACTTATCTGTGAGTGATTGGTGTCAGAGTGGCTTTGGGTATTTTTATAGATGGAAGCCGGCAGTAATGGATTTTGCGTCGTTTGGAAATAAACCATCTGATACGTGTAATAATGTAATTGACTAAATCTTTTTTTTATTTTTTATTTCCAATTACGACGGCTGCGCTGCCGATCTGCTGTCCGTGTGTCTTCCGTCTTTTCTACTTTATTTTTATAAAAAAAATTAAAGAAAATAATTTCAGAACTTTATATTTTAATTAAAAATCATCTACTAATTTTATTTAATGATTAAAAAAATTAAAAAAATTAAATAATAAAAAACCTAAAATCTAAACATAGGACAACACTTGACCAGACTCTTTCTATTTTTGTAGCCAAACATCGAGCTATCACTTTAAAGCTATAACCAAACAATAACTTTATTTCGCCACCTTGTCAACTGCCATGGCGGATCGTCGTCGATCATGGCTGCTCCACCAACCTCATTGGCCCATCCCCATCTCCTTTTCCAACTAGTCCGATTTTTCAAACTCATTATCCTTTTCAATTGGAAGAGGAAGTGTGCGTTGGTCTCGATGAGGGAGGTGGGATTGGGGTGGGACGACGGGTTGGGGTGGGATGACGATTGGAGATAATGGGGGTGATTGACGGAGGAGAGAGGTTAGAAGAGTGACTGGAGTGGTCGGCGTCGATGAATCAACCATGGCAAACAGAAGAATGAAGAAGAAAGGTAGTGTTTGGCTATGGATTTAAAGTTATAGCTGGTGTTTGGTTTGCTAAATAGCAAATGTTGAGAAAAAAAAAATTAAAAGATACATGTGTTAAAATATCAGTGGGCCACAACAAAGGGTCAGCAAATTGGGTATTAAATGGTCAGTACCCAAGTATTATCCATATATATGTGTGCCCAGCGTGCGTTAAGTTTTATAAACAGTGTAATACCGTTAAATTTCATAAACAGTGTAATAAGTTTCCTAATCAATGTAGTATCGTTACGTTTCATAAACAATGTAGTAAGTTTCATATACAGTGTAGTAATTTTCATAAACAGTGTAGTACTGTTAAGTTTCATAAACAATGTAGTACTGTTAAGGTTCATAAACAGTGTAATAAATTTTATAAATAGTGTAGTACCGTTAAGTTTCATAAATAGTATGTGTGAAAACGCGTGGGTCCCGCGCGTAAGTTTTTTTTTAATATTAATTATGTCTTTTTAATTAAAATTTAAGTTATTTTGTCATTTTTATTAAAGTTTAAAGGTTTTTCATTAAAATTTAAAACTTTTTCTTAAATAAAGTTATAGCATTATTTTTTGTTAAAATAAACTTAGTTCAAGCATTTTTCATGAAAGTTCTCATTTTTATATGTGTCATACTATTTAATTTTAACTTAACTCTGTTAATTTTTTTTCACATAGTACGATGATTTAGTAGTATTCCGTTTTACTTATAAATTAAAGATCTTAGGTCCGATTCTCGTCAAAAACGAATTTGAACCACATTATTGCTAGCCAGCAGCCACCAAAGTCCCACCCAACAACCCTTGATTCTATTGCAGAAGCAAGATGAAGGCTAGGGCTCAGCTATTCTTCCCAGTCCTTAGAATACCAAAATTCAAATTGAAAGCAACCCAACTTCAACTTACAACAAATTGAAATTGAAAACAACAAAAAAACCAAAATACAAATCACCAACGGACAAAAAACCCTAGTGCGTTTGTAGGAGGACAGATTTTTACCTCCAATTGAGCAATGGTAAAAATGGAGTGAGCTGTGTTCTTGTAGGTCCCAAGACACTACTACAAAATTGGCTTAATGTGGCGGAGAGTGGTGGCAGTTTTATACTATTATTGTCGAATAAAATATTTCCGAGAACATCTTTAAAAAGTGTTGGATAACAAATTATTACTGTCGCTTATATCCGACATTAGTGCACTACTTTCTGACAAGAATAATGAAGCGGGCTCTTAACTCCACAAGATTTATTTTTTAAATATTTTTAACCAATTCCAACGGATATATCCGACATGAGTAAGCAATGTGTCAGATTATATTATATGATTTTCAAATTTTTAATACTAACGATGGCGGTTATATCCGACACAATTATTACTTTATGTTTTTTTAAATCCTAGCAAATTTTGGGCGGGATATATCCCACCATTCTTTATGTTGAAAAGTGTGTTGTCGGTTCTATCCAATGACAATAGGAAATTGTGTCCGACAAATTTTTACATTGCTGTCAATTTTAACCGATAGTACTACCAACATAATAAAACCTTTCTCCTTCTTCATTGCGCCGCTGCCTTCTCCCTTCCCCAATTTCTTCTCCTTCCCACTGCATTCTCCTCTCCTTCTTCTTTCCTTCTCATTCTCTTCTCCCATTCTTCCTCTCTCATTTGCCCTTTCTTCTTTTCTCCCATTCTCCTTCATTTCCCTTTCATTTCCCCCTTCTTCTTTTCGGCATCTTTTTCTTCTTTTCATTTCATCTTCTTACCATGCTTTTTTATCCACTTCATCCAGTTCCTCCATCATTCTCTTCATGACAATCGCTGATCTCATCTCTCCGTCTTCTCTCTCTAGTACGACAACACATGATTTACGCCAAACACTAGAAATGTCTCACTTTCCTGCTCCCGTTTTCATATTGTCTATAAACTTCTCCATCTCTTCCCTCCTTTTTCTCCGTCAATCTCTAAAAATCTCACCGTCTCGATCATGGGTCTGCTGTACCTAAACTAGTGTCTCCAGTATGTCTCCTTTCTAACTTCATGACCTTGGCGCTTCAACTTAACAATAATTTTTCAACTTAACACCAATTTAACAACCTTAACTTGAAAAATAAAACTAAAAACTTAAGAAAAACAACAGCATTCCCCAAACTATCCGACAACCATCTACCCCAACAAGTCCCACCCGTCATCGCAAAGCTCCCCATCGGCGGCGAAGGTTATCTCTTCGCCCTTTCTGTCTCTTCCTCTCTCTCCAAATCAGAGAAGTGTGAAGGCCAATAATTAAGGTCATCTAACTCATATCTCCATAGACATAACCAGCAACGTTGTTACCAAAAACCTTATCTGATCGATCTAGCCCACCAAAAAATTTCTGGGTATTTTGGAATTTGAGGACAGCCACAATTTTTTTTTTCTTCTGGGATTTGAGGATAGCCACAATTTTTTTTTTCCTAGGGTTTTATGGGTTCTTTCTGGAATTTGGGGATAGCCACAATTCCTTAAAAACCAAAGAATTTGGATTGCGTGGTTGATTTATGTTCTTCCGACTGGGATTTAATAGCAGAAATGGCAAGGAAATGGCTGCCGACGAGGTTGTATGTGGTTTGGTGGGTGGCTATCGGGTGGGTGGAGCTTTTGTTTTTCTTTAATTTCTTTTTATTTTTATATTTGTCTTTAGAAAAAGATAAATTGATTTCCAATAGTATGGAATTTTGTGCGGCTAAAAAATTACAAAAATAATAATAATAAATAAAAAGTACCAACCTGAAATTTGCACATGTAATAGTCATCGCCACAAGCAGCTTGAACCATTTCGATGAACTTCCTCTGAGGGTTTCGCGGCCGAAATTGCATGCTCAAGCTGACCAAGGCTTTGACCCGGTCGGGCCGGAACAGGCAGAGGTACCAAGCGATGAAGACGCCCCAGTCGTGGGCTACCACGAACACCTGCTCCTGATCGGGTGCGATGGCATCCAAGAGCGCCACGAGGTCTCCAACCATGTGGAAGCAGGGGTAGCTGGTGGGGGAGACAGGGGCGTCGGTGTCGCCATACCCTCGGAGGTCGGGGGCGACGGTGCGGTAGCCGAGGGCGGAGATGGTGAGGATTTGGTGGCGCCAGCAGTACCAGAGATCGGGAAAGCCGTGGATGAAGAGGATGAGTGGGCCATTCCCTTTCTCGGCGACGTGCATGTTGATGCCGTTCACATGGACCGTTCGGTGCTCTATTCCCTCCGACTCCATGATCGTCGATCGCTCTCTCTCTAACGAATGATTACTGTTGGGATGTTTCTGTGTCTTTTTATAAGGAAGCCTGCAGAAATATTTGTTTTTTTCTACCTGGTGTTATTGTATTCGACTCTCGGATTAAACGTCTTACGAGGTGGTATCTGAACTTGTTCATGTTGGGAGTGAGATTAAAATGGAGTGAAATAAGGAATTTAGGCGTAATTTCATATGGGGCAAGCAAACTATGGTCGCTGAAGCTTGTGTTGCCCACACCCGGCGACAAGCAGACTCGGTTGCTTGTCGCTTAGCTCATTTTGCTCTCGATTGTGGAAACAATTGTACTTGATGAGATTAACTTCCAACCTTAATTAGTGACCTTCTTATGGAGGAGTTATCTTCACCCTTTACTGATTAGCCTTTTATAGCTTCAATGAAATATACGCTGCCGTTTTCTTAAAAAAAACATTTTGCCTCATTTTTTTTCTGGGTAGAAAGGCAAAAGTTTTATTGCCAACAAAACTTTACAAAACAGAGGTCCAAAACAAATATACAAAGGCAACGCGGGCCAACCCAAAAGAAACACCAAGCGCCCAACCAAAGATTAGGCTAAAAAACAAAAGCAAACCGACTGAAAAGGTAATCCTAGCTTCCTGCAACAATTGCCGCCGTACCTCGCAAACAGCTCGAACCATCGAACCCAACCAGCGCCTAAATCCGATCAGACAAAGCCTCATAGATGGAAAGAAGGAGAACTCCATCATCCAGCAAATAGCTCTTCTCCTGTTGCAGCCACCAAGAAGAAGAAACCAAAGAAGCCAGTGGGATGTCCACTAGCGACAGTGCCAATGAAGGCAGACCAAGAGAGGGAAGTGGTGTGAACACCCGAGCCGGTGTGAACACCAGAACTCTACACACCCTCTCGATATACCGCAACAAAACGCGGTTAAAATGGTTGCAAGCCGGATATGGAATAATATTGATGAATGACGAAGCCAAGTTAGAAAGTACGAAGGAGTGAAGATGGAGGGATAGCAAGAAATAGAGAAAAGAAAAGAGTGGTTCTGAGGACATTGGCGAGTAGGATTCACGGTTTGTGGGTTGGAAAGATTATTCTGGAGGGAAAGGCTAGCAAGGGGAAAACTTTAGCAGGAGGAAAGGAAGAGAACACCAAAAAGGAGAAAGTAAAGGCTGCCACAGACCTTAGCCATAGCTAGGGCCGGCGACTGAACGGAAAACCTTAATTTGAAAACCCTCACACAAGCGGTGAGAAAAATACCATGTGATGTTTCATTTTGTCTCATTTTGCTTCCTAGAAATTATAATAGTCCATTGATACCATAAAACACTCTAGAAATATTATCTTTGCAAAAAAATAATAAAATGAAGGTTATTTAGTTAATAAACTGTAGCTAATAGATAGATAGTTTGTAATATTTTTATTAATTTCAATGATCTGTTTTTATAAAATTTGATGACTAAGCGATCTCATATTTTATTAATTTTTGTTGAGATAATTTTTACATAATGATTTTTGTATTAATGATTCTAACCATACATAGAAAGTTTCGTGGATTGGCCACGAACCACTTGTTTATACTAATAAACACAAGTAATTAATTAAGTGTGATATATCTCAAAGATAATTGAGTTTGAAGTGTTATTCTACTGTGTTGTTTTTAAGAATTTATATGTAGAAAACTCTTAAATTAATGTGTTTATTAGTAATTTTGAAATTCATTTGTGTTCAATGCATGTTTTTCCAGACTAAATGCATTTTCCACTGCGGAGGTTTAAAATCAGTTTTGAAATGATTCACAAGATTTCGATTTTTCTTATTAGACCTCAGTGTTTGACATTAAATCAATTTATATATTTTGTCAGACTTGTGAGAAAGTAGGAAAGTGGTCATTCGGTAATGTGACAAAGTGGTGCAAAATCGACCCCTATGATATAGGTTTTTACTTTAGTCATTGCTTCGTGAACCCTGCGATAATGTGTATTTTGATAAGTTACTTCACAGACATTTGAACGCATCCACAATTATTTTAAAGCAACTGACATGGTTTTAACTCCTCACAAACCTCTTTATTTTTCAAGTCATCGGACTAACTTAATTAAACAGAAACAGCTTATAAAATTAAACTTAGTATAGTTTAAATTACACACATCATCAGTGATTATTCATGACAAAACCAAACTAGTTGACGGAAGTTGCACGTTCGTAAACAAGGAAACAACAATGTCCATTACAACGTCACTCAAAGTCGGAGGCGAGAAGCGCATAACTGAAACACCAGTAGGCAGTAGCCAGCGTCGACACAAGGACATACGGCTAATGGAATTTCTTGATGAAGTCGTGAATGTGTTTGCTGATTTCATCAGGCTTTTCTTGTTGCAGAAAATGGGCAACTCCTTCCAATACAACTACTTCTTCCAGAAGCGGCACAAATTTCTTGAACCCGCCTTTGTGTATGAAGTCCGGAGTACCTTGAGAGTTGTAAACTAGGTCCTGATCTCCCACAACGAACTTCACAGGAACTTTCACTTGAGCCCCAGTCCATGGTGCAGTCAGTTCCCAATTTCTGCATTGTTAAAGCGGATGAAATTAATTAAAACAACGATTAGCATTAGAGTCATCGACACTCGACAACATAAGTTCGAAAAAAATTACGTACACGTCAATATTCCGATAGTAGTTTATGGGGCCGGTGAAGCCCGTCTTGTCAAATTTGGCGGTGTAGTAGTTCACTTCATCCTCAGACAACCAACTTGGCAAGACAATAGGAGTATCTGTGGGATGTCCAAATGCTTTGCCTTTAGGCAGGAAAAGTGGACCAGGATTCCTATATGTAAGAAACTCCTTCATAACTCTTTTAGTGCCCATCTGAGCAAACTCAGCTTCTATCACTCCTGGCTCCTACAAATATGAGTAATTTGCCCAGTCATAAGCAAAAATTGCAATTGATATCTGCGGGTATGCGGTTTCAGAATTACATACTAATGTTTTCTTGTTAAACAAACATTAATATTTTTTAGTAGAACGATAGGTTAGCGGGTTAGACTTAGATAGTTAGTTGTTAGGGGGAAAAGAATCGGTGGAGATCAAATCCACACCATAATGCACACGCATACCCGCTTTCACAATATGATAAAACTCATCTACAACAACAATATTTTCGAATAAACCCAATTTGATTATTAGTTCAAATTCGTAGTCTAGCCAACGACAGAAATATTCATAGCAACTTCAACCTAAAAGAAAAAAAATCACAATCAATTACATTACAATAAAACACTCATGCACCTATTTTTATTTTTCACTCATTTTCATTTTTAACTGTTTGATCAAATAAATTGACGATGAATATACAAATTAACAAAAACGAGAGATTAAAAAAAAAAATGTAAATAGCCCTACTCTTTAAAATATTTGCTTTTGAAAGGTAGAAAATGTAATAAAAAAATAATATTGTCACATCCTATTTAATGTAAAATATCACTTTGGGATTCAGATTGATTACACAGAGAGAGAGACAAATGATCGTTTTCAATCTGCCAGGCAGATGGTGTAGACAGTAAGGTCTTTAAAATAATTGCTTCCAAAGTGAAGATCTCCACACAAAATAAGAGATTGGAAGATGAATGAGGACAGACAATCCTCTTCATAAAAAGTAAGCTTTTTAAAGTAATTGCTTCCAAAGTGAAGACGTCCACACACACTTTTTATTTTTCATATTTTTGTATTTCTGATTGTCATATCAAATCTGTCAATTCTTCGAAATTTATTGTTCTAAATTGAAAATTTGAAAGTCGAAAATGCAAATTCGGAAGGACAAGATGTACCTCACTAACTAATTTGTGTAAAGATGATTAAATGTTAATCAAATTGACAATTAGTGATTGATGTGGAATTTTGTGGGGCTCAAAAATTCCCCAAAAAGAAAAAAAAAACGGTACCGAACCTGAAATCTGCACATGTAGTAGTCATCGCCATAAGCAGCATGAAACGATTCGATGACCTTCCTCCGAGGGTTTCGCGGTATGAACTGCACGCTCAAGCTGACCAAGGCTTTGACCCGGTCGGGCCGGAACAGGCAGAGGTACCAAGCGATGAGGGCGCCCCAGTCGTGGGCCACCACGAACACCTTCTCCTGATCGGGTGCGATGGCGTCCAGGAGCGCCACGAGGTCTCCGACCATGTGGAGGCAGGTGTAGCTGGAAGGGGAGGCGGGGGCGTCGGTATCGCCGTACCCTCGGAGGTCGGGGGCGACGGCGCGGTAGCCGAGGGCGGAGAGGGAGAGGATTTGGTGGCGCCAGGAGTACCAGAGCTCAGGAAAGCCGTGGAGGAAGAGGATGAGTGGGCCATTCCCTTTCTCGGCGACGTGCATGTTGATGCCGTTAACTTGGACTGTTCGGTGCTCTATTCCCTGAGACTCCATGATCGGCTATCGCTCTCTCTCAAACTCTCTCTGTTACTTTTTTGTAATACTTATCTGTGAGTGATTGGTGTCAGAGTGATTTTGGGTATTTTAATAGATGGAAGCCGGCAGTAATGGATACGTGTAATAATGTAATTGACTAAATCTTTTTTTTATTTTTTATTTCCAATTACGACGACTGCGCTGCCGATCTGCTCTCCGTGTGTCTTCCGTCTTTTATACTTTATTTTTATAAAAAAAATTAAAGAAAATAATTTCAGAACTTTATATTTTAATTAAAAATCACCTACTAATTTTATTTAATGGTTAAAAAAAATTTAAAAATTAAATAATGAAAAACCTAAAATTTAAACATAGGACAACACTTGACCAGACTCTTTCTATTTTTGTAGCCAAACATCGAGCTATCACTTTAAACCTATAACCAAACAATAACTTTATTTCGCCACCTTCTCAACTGCCATGGCTGATCGTCGTCGATCATGGCTGCTCCACCAACCTCATTGGCCCATCCCCATCTCCTTTTCCAACTAGTCTAATTTTTCAAACTCATTATCCTTTTCAATTGGAAGAGGAAGTGTGCGTTGGTCTCGATGAGGGAGGTGGGATTGGGGTGGGACGACGGGTTGGGGTGGGATGGCGATTGGAGATAGTGGGGGTGATTGATGGAGGAGAGAGGTTAGAAGAGTAACTGGAGTGGTCGACGTCGATGAATCAACCATGGCAAACAGAAGAATGAAGAAGAAAGGTAGTGTTTGGCTATGGATTTAAAGTAATAGCTGGTGTTTAGTTTGCAAAATAGCAAATATTGAGAAAAAAAAAATGAAAAGATACGTGTGTTAAAATATCAGTGGGCCACATCAAAGGATCAGCAAATTGAGTATTAAATGGTCAGTACTCAAGTATTATCCAAAATATGTGTGCCCAGCGTGCGTTAAGTTTCATAAACAGTGTAATACCGTTAAATTTCATAAACAGTGTAGTAAGTTTCCTCATCAATGTAGTATCGTAACGTTTCATAAACAATGTAGTAAGTTTCATAAATAATGTAGTAAGTTTCATAAACAGTGTAGTAATTTTCATAAACAGTGTAGTACTGTTAAGTTTCATAAACAATGTAGTACTGTTAAGGTTCATAAACAGTGTAATAAATTTTATAAATATTGTAGTACCGTTAAGTTTCATAAATAGTATGTGTGAGAATGCGCGGATCCGGCGCGTCAGTTTTTTTTTTTAATATTAATTATGTCTTTTTAATTAAAATTTACGTTATTTTGTCATTTTTATTAAAGTTTAAAGGTTTTTCATTAAAATTTAAAACTTTTTATTAAATAAAGTTATAGCATTATTTTTTGTTAAAATAAACTTAGTTCAAGCCCTTTTCATGAAAGTTACCATTTTTATATGTGTCATACTATTTAATTTTAACTTAACAATCTTAATTTTTTCCACATAGTACTATGATTTAGTAGTATTCCGCTTTACTTATAAATGAGAGATTTTAGATCCGATTCTCATAAAAAACGAATTTGAACCACATTATTGCTAGCCAGCAGCCACCAAAGTCCCACCCAACAACCCTTGATTCTACTGCAGAAGCAAGATGAAGGCTAGGGCTCAGCTTTCTTCCCTGTCCTTAGAATACCAAAATTCAAATTGAAAGCAACCCAACTTCAACTTACAACAAATTGAAATTGAAAACAACAAAAAAACCAAAATACAAATCACTAACGGACAAAAAACCCTAGTGCGTTTGCAGGAGGACAGATTTTTACCTCCAATTGAGCAATGGCAAAAATGGAGTGAGCTGTGTTCTTGTAGGTCCCAAGACAATACTACAAAATTGGCTTAATGTGTCGGAGAGTGGTCTTGTAGGTCCCATTCTTCCTCTCTCATTTTCCCTTTCTTCTTTTCTCCCATTCTCCTTCATTTCCCTTTCATTTCCCCCTTCTTCTTTTCGGCATCTCTTTCTTCTTTTCATTTCATCTTCTTACCATGCTTTTTTATCCACTTCATCCAGTTCCTCCATCATTCTCTCCATGACAATCGCTGATCTCATCTCCCCGTCTTCTCTCTCTAGTACGACAACACATGATTTACGTCAAACACCAAAATTGTCTCACTTTCCTGCTCCCGTTTTCTACTGTGAGTAAGGGATTTTGCTTATCTGAGGTAATTAGTGAGGGATTTTGTTTCAACATTTTCAAGTTAACTAAAAATTTGTAGTTCCCTAATTTTATTATGGTTTTGTAGTTTTTGTTCAATTCAATCTTTTTTTATGACTAATTTGCTGATTATCGAATTTCTTATACATTGTTCTACTTAAACCATATTTATTTTATCTAATTTGTTAATCTTTAGTGATGTTTTTGGCATCAATTGCTGTTGAATTTTTATTCATTCATGTTTTCTCATGTGATGGAATGTTATTCTACAGTGAATAGCACTGAAAGAAGTAGAGGAAATGAGAAAGGTAGCACTGATAGAACAAGGGGAAGAAAAGAAGAAAGGGAAAAGAAGATGGGAAAAAGGAAAAGTCATCATTATGTTTTCTTTATGTTGTTGTATAAATACTTTGTATAATGAGATATATTGATGAAGAACATTACCAATGGAAACATTTATGTCAGATATGGATTTTTTTATTTTTTAAATGAGCATGGGTGTCTGATAAAGGAGCATTTTTGTTTAATTTTTATTTTTATTCAAAACATAAATTTGGTTTATATACTTTTTTTTTTTATTATGTCGGTTATATGTGACATAGTCCATCATTTCAGGAAACGGGAAGACGCATAGAGGCATTTCAATATTTTATGAGCACCATCGTGCGATTCACCAGCACTAGGATTCGAACCACAAATATATTGTATAGAATACAGACCTGAAATTCGTTCCAACCACTGGGCCAAATTGTTACATTATCCAGGCACAAACTTAAAAACAATGTGCCGCATAAATCTAAATGTGAGAAGCCATATCCAAGATGTCATGGATGATTTTCATTTACTAATTAGTTATGTAGAGATGGGACCCAAAAAGATGAATAATTAATTAAGTAGAGAGTTTTGACTTTTATGTTAATCGTTGATTAGTCATTAGTGCGTTCTATATTTTGCAGTAAGAGAGAATATGCTAGGAAATTTTTTTTTTTCCATTATCTAACTAAATATTAATAGAATTCTTTTTGTTAATTAAAAGAGAAATTATTTAATTTTTTATAACAACAAAAAAATTAAGCGCAGTAACGTAATTTTACAAAAAAAAGTTTGCTTGTTTTTTATGTAAACCTTCCCGGTGATTTTAACATCTCTAATTTTTTTAAAGAATAAAAAAAAACTCTCTTCCTTTCTCCTCACTATCTCTCTTACTCTCTTCCTCTTACCTTTACTTTTAATTTTCTTAACCATTCAGCTTACGAGTCGTAGCTCAAAAAAACTGGGGGGCAATGTTTGGACCCAAATTTACACTATCAGCCCGTGCAATCAAGGTCGTTGAGTGAGTATAGCTCCACACCATCGAATGGAAAAGTGAAGATAATTTTGTTACTAGTAAAGGATATTTTATGATCTTTTAATAACAAATTATCTTGGTATTCTCTTATACGGGATAATAAGATGCAAATTATATCTCCAAGCAAGCAGTATAGTTCAAATGGACTTGGGATTCTTGTTATCAGATTGGAGCAACATGATGGGTTTGATTAGAATTGTCAAGATGCATGGTCTTCATGTATGCGTGGGATGCCAAGATGAAATCAACAGGGAATGTCCCCCACGTGTGTTTGGAGTCGTTGAACCATGCATATAGGTTATTTTGGATAATAGTGGTACCTGATGATCACCAAAAATAATGGAGTGGCATATTCTAGATTGGGATAATTATTAGCACAGAAATATATGGTAACAATTAGCATATTTTTTAGGGATGAGCACGGCATGGGCTAAAGTGTTTGAACTTTGGTGATGCATGCACTTGGACGCAAATATGGGCACTAACATTGCATGGTTCCTCAGGATGCCATAGAAAGAGTTTCATATGCATGCAAATTGGTCTGATTCCATCAAATCCAACAGCTAATGGCCAATGAGGATGGGTCATTGTTAAGCGATCAATTAACAAATGGGATGGTTATCAAGAGTTTTATTTGTATCAACTACTTATCTTCAGGAGATTCAAGTTATGGCCAGCTATGGAAGTTCCGCGAGAAACGCAAGCAAATAAGTGCTATAAATACATGAGGCTGTGCAACGTGAGAGCCTCCTTCAATTCAACACACAAATTGCTCTGCGTAAGTCCTCGCTCTACACGAAACCTCTTAACAAGCTTGAGATTTTTTTATCTTCTATTTTTGCCAACACATCTTCAGTTTGGATAAACAGTACTAGTTTGGATAAACAGTACTTGAGCCGTAGAATTAACCGACCAAGGAGCACCTTCAGTTTCAATAAACAGCACTGCTTCAAGGCCGACTGGTTACATATCCAAGTCTCAGTCAACAAGGATTTTCGAGTCTTTGTTGGTAGAGGTCATCTCATCAGCCTTCTCGGCGAAGTGATGTGTCACCAGGTTAATACATTCGGCAAATTGAAAGAATAATTTGATATTTGAACTTCGCAGAACTAGCAACCTTGTCTTTAGGCTTTAGAACCCGAAGGCCGAGACGTGTTCCTTCCTTGGCCGCAGTCGCAAGATCAAGAAGTCAGCAGCGCGCCCAACACCACATCAACATATTTTACTCTCTGGCCGAGCTCGACCAACGAGTTGGCACACCCCGCACATAACCGAATGACATAGTTAGCTTATTAATTACTCGGCTTGCACACCTCATAGGCTTAGAAATTTTTAGGATCAACATACACCAACGTGATATGAATATGTGATTTCCTTAGCATTATTCGCGTTAAATTGCCAATCAAACTGCAAGAGAGAACAAATAGTAAACGTGTTTCACAAAAAGGCTCTTCCGAGAATGAGAAGACGGGAGTGGACCCATAACTCGGAATATTTTATTTTCCTAGCTAATTGTTGCACAGAACATCAAAGCCCGCTAAAGTTAAGAGCTAGTGTCAAAGATTTCAATCAAGTTGAAGAATATGCAGTGTACAAGAAGCTAAGGTCAAAAAGTCAATAATGACTCAAATTGATCCTAATAAGAATTGTAATTATCTCTAAAGCCGACACCGTATACGTAGAATTGTTACATGTTTTTCTAAAAATGACCAACTAGTGGCAACGTGGCAGTCCACCATTTCGGGAGACATGAAGACGTATAGAGGCATTTCAGTATTTTATAACCACAATCGTGCGATTTACCAACACAAGGAATTGAACCAAAAATATACTGTATAGAATGCCGACTTAAAATTCGTTCCAACCATTGGGCCAAATTATTACATTATCCAAGCACAAACTTAAAAACATCGTGCCGCCTAAATCTAAATGTGAGAAGCCAAATACATGATGTCATGGATGATTTTCATTTACTAATTAGTTATGTAGAGATGGGACCTAAAAAGATGAATAATTAATTAAGTAGAGAGTTTTGACTTTTATGTTAATTGTTGATTAGTCATTAGTGCGTTCTATATTTTGCAGTAAGAGAGAATATGCACAGGAATATTTTTTTTTTTTTTCATTATCTAACTAAATATTAATAGAATATTTTTTGTTAACTAAAAGAGGGTGAAAAAATTATTTAATTTTTTAAAACATCAAAAAACTTAAGGGTATTAACGTAATTTTACAAAAATTTTCTTGTTTTTCGTTTAAATTTTACAGGTGATTTTAACATCTCTAATTTTTTAAAGAATAAAAAAAAACTCTCTTCCTCTCTCCTCACTCTCTCACTCTCTTCCTCTCACCTTTACTTTTAAAATTAAAAATAAAAAATTTCACACACTTTGTGTGTGGGCATATTATTAGTATTGAACTATTGATAGGTCGTAGGTGTTATGGCGGGCGAAATGGTTTCTATGCATGTATGAATGGGTATTTGGAAATGTTAGAAGTGGCAGCCAAGAAATTGTTGTGCAGAACCGACATATATATGAGGCGAATGTATCAAACAAAGACTATAAATCCTAAATATTCAAGAAAAACCAGTCCCATTTTCCTTTAATTGTGATTTTGCAAAATTAGTTTGAAATGCTTGTAATATTATTGTGCCAAGTAATTATTACTACACGTATTAATTATGGTTATAAAAATAAAATAAGTATATGCGGGTTGGTTCAATCAACCGCATCCGAAGAATTTTGAAAATCACTTGCCAAACCGATTAAGATCGATGTGGTTTGGTTTAACCACTGAACAAAAAAAACAAAACAAAAAACAAAACAAAACAAAACAAAACCAAACCAAACCAACCCATCAATGCAATTTGGACGGTTCAATTGGTTTTTTTTTTTTTTTTCAAATGCCCAACCCTAATTTATATGGTTCGGAATTATAGCCTATATCTAATTCAGAGACGACGACGATATTTCACAAATATCAATATGAGATTACAAAAGAGTGTTTCACTTAAGCGATCACAACCCTTAATTCACTAGTGCCCAAGTGTTTCATGTCCCCCTTTCATGAAAGTTTAATAACCTTGTAAACATATTAGAACTGGGAGGTTTTTCTAGCACAAACGATATTATTAATTGAATTTAAACTTGAAATATAGTGAATTGAACGGAAACATCTTATTCATTAAGATAATCTACCGCTTCTAAAATTGGAAGCTTTTAGTTTAATATGAGATGACAGTTTCATACCCTTCATACAGATTCTCAGGCCTACTCAACACAATGTTTGGGCTGTTTAAATAAGTAAAAAAACATAGCCCAACCTTTGTTTCTAAACCTACCATTCAGGCCCACTTAAATGAAAAGGTGAAAAGTTAGAAAACCCAGAAACTTTGAGGCTGCTCTCTCTCCAGTAAAAAGATGAGCTGGGCTCCGAGGTTCTTCTCTCCTACTTCCAACCCAGTAAGCAACTCCAGTTGTTGCAATAAATTTCTTGACGATAAAGCCGTGGACGGTGAAAGTTAAAGTTTTATGATAAAATTAATACATATATAGCAAAGTTCTAAAAGATGTTAGCAGTTGGTCAGGCGGTTGGTTGGGGGCTAAAGCTTAGACGGCTAAACGGAGGCCTAGGCAGACTAAACGGATTTAAGTAAATTTATTATGTATCATATAAATAAGTGCATACTTATACTTAAAAATACATAATTGTATTAGAATACATAAATTGAAAAATAAAATGATATAGATTATAAAGTATTCGAACATAATGAAAACTTGAGGAACAAACATATAATTTGTAATATTCAACAAGTCTTTTACAATTTATTGAAAAAATAAAATGTAAAATATAAGTTATCTATTTTATGTTTAAGTGAGAATTGCAGCAGGTCTAGGTACCCTTTCTTAATTTTCTAACACCTAGACATTAATTAGGATGGTGACCAACCACAGAGCCCCGAGACAGGGATTTTTAGAACAGTGATAAATAGTAGTCCAATTCCTTTTAAATCCTTGTAAGGTTGGTTCCTTCAACGACATGGGACTTTATCCTTCACACTTTCTCAGGCTTCTTCAAATTTGGTGAATTTTCAAGCTAAAAATGTAGACAATACAAGAGTTAAGTGGAGCGCTTGTGGCAGTTGAGCTTCACACATGGGCCAACATGGCTATAATACTATGAACGAAGTTAAGGTTTTACTATAAAATCAATTGACAATATAAAGTAACTCAACTCTTATAAATCCTTGCAAAGTTTGATCCTTCACTGACGTGAGATTTTATCCTTCGCATTCACGTTATAGACAAAAACTTACATATATTAGTCTTCAATAGTGTGGACTATTAGATAGCTATGCTTTATATTCATTAAATTGGTAAGTGAGAAAAAAGTTATATTTTCTTAATTCAACCATGACAAGTCATTTCATTTCCCGTACTACTCTACTAAGTAATTCAGAATGTTCAGAAAAATTGCTTCACATTATTGGTAAAGAAAGACACGGTAACTCATCCATGTGCATAGAAATCCTCCCCAATCCCAAATCCAATGACAGAGACACGTTAATACGGATAGCGAAATGACGTGGTGAGCAGGTTAAGTTGCATACAAGATTGCAGAGAGGGGAGCGGACCAAACAACAAATGGCACATGAGATGTGGTTGTTTGTTTGTTGCCTGCCGCTACTTAATTTGGAGCCTTGCGCCTTGTTTCTTTCTCTTTCCTTTATGCTTTTCATGAAACCGATCCATCATTCCCTTCCATCCACTTTGACCATCTCCTCGTTCTTCTGCTTGGCAGTTGGCATATAGTGTTTTGGTCACATCAAGCCATGACTTGCACATCTTATTGCCCTAGCCAAAAGATGTGCATCGCCATTTTTGCCTATTGCTCTTCACTCACCAAGAAAAGTGCTTCAATGTTACAAATATGGCTTGGTGTGTTTAGTTTAAGGTGATGGAATTTTATAGACTACAATGAGTGCTCTTATAGCTAGAAGTTCTTCAATGCGAGATAAATTTTGTCAATCGACCAGTTGCGTTGAGCCAATGAATCAACATTTGCAACTATCTTATATTGGAGAAAGTCTATTTGTTTTAGTCTCCAATTTAAACAATAGATTGGGAATTTCTCGAGAGAAATAATACTCATCTTATTTCTAAAATTCAATTATCCATAAAAAGACTTTAAGATCAAATTATAGTCCTCACTCGTCACACATGTCTCGTCTCTAAACTTCGGACTCCAACCCAACCCTTGAGTATGAGACCTAGAACCTCGATCAAAACTCTTGACCTAGACTCTAAATCTTGAACATGAAAAATATCTCAATCTTAAATTCGAAGTCATGACTTAAATACTTAGGCTCTAGATAGTGGGAAGAGAACAAATCATTAATATTGACATTTGATTCTTATTTTCAACACAATAATGTTATTTAAACACACAATACCACTTAAACACTCATTGATATACTCTCCAATGGAAGTGAACTTTAGTATTATGTATGGGACTCATATGCATAAAATAGGGTATTAAGTTTGTGCGTCTAAATAGCAGCATGATCGTTTTCACAAAACTAAGAAAATCAATTTTGGTTTAAATAGAATAAACTTGTTGATAAAGTTGGATCCATACTCCATAATAATGGACATTTAAGAGTTCAAGTTCAAACTAGCTAGCTAGATATATTTGGGACAAAACAAAAGACGTACACGGGAAAGTAGCCGAAGAGATTTGGCTCGTACGATGGCCTCTTGTGGGTGCTGAAATTAATCACTCCAATAAACAAATGACAAATGAGATCGTATAAGATCTATCAAACATCTTAATTAATGATGGCACATGAGGTTATACCCAACAACAACTGTGGGGAAAATTCAAAAATAATTTAATTTAAATATTTTTTTACAAAGTTAATGAGAAGAGTTGCCCGCCTCACACGATAGGTAACATGATTGGAGGTATGATGGGAAAATTGGAGGAGTTGGGTGACAAACAAGAAGATTGAATCGGTTGAGAGGGACCCCAATGGAGTTGAACCAAAGAAATTATAATTAACATACTCATTCTTTATTCTTTTAATTGTTGTTAGATAAAAATTATGGGAAAGGCTCAGCATTATTCCTCAATGACAATTCGATTTGCCCTATCGACTTTCAATTTAGTTCTAAACCTTGAAGTCTAATAAAATCTGTCGAATTTTTTAGCAATGCATTCTATGTGTATAGAAAGTGGCCTCATTTAACGAAAAATTAACAAATTGAATGACAAATTGATACGTTTTAGAAATTCCAATCAATTCTTAAGTTTAGTGATAATAAGTGAAGAAATAATGTCTTATTTAATGTTCATCCACTTGTATTATTACACATTATATATCGACTCGTGCTACCGGTACATAAAGAATGAGTCCAAAGCTTTCGCCTTTTCAGTTGAACTAACTAAACTAACAAACAGCTTTTTCCAATACAACTAACAAACAGCCTTTTCCATTACGAAGTGATTAACAGTTAATAGGCATGATAACGAAAGATGGGAAAGTGGAAAGTGATCGCTCGGTCAAAGCAGGTTTCATTAGTTTCACAACTTAATCAAAGTGAGCAACAACAAACACCAAAAGGAGGATCTGGCTTTCCTCCAAAGGATCAAACGCTTTTGCAGTTTGCAAAAGCAAAGAAAGGGACAAACAAATCCAACCCCATTTGGCATCCCGCTTAATTAATCAAAAGAAGACCAATTACTAAAATATATATGGCTCTCCAAAAGATCAACAATATAATTAAAATTTAAACACCCCAAAGTTACTAATTAAGTAACCAAATATATAGGCATGGCAGATGTAGAGCTCCTCTGTTGCTGCTGCTCCATATTAAGCTCCCTCAGGCTCAGGTAGGGGATGCCCATCTCATCCTTACTCGCCGGAGACATTGTTCCGGCAAGCGGTCCCGACGACGGCCTGCTAGTACTCCGGTAAGGCGTGCTCGACCCGCTTCTGCTCTCAGTGATGTAAACCGGCCCAGAAATCGAAGCCCGGAAGGCCTTGGCCCTGGCCTGATGAACATCTTCATCACCGGCGGGGCCGCGGTGGTAGTGGTGGGTTGTCAGCTTGGTCCATTTGAAGAAAAGCAGAGCGCTTTTCCACCAGCGCTTCTTCTTGGTTTTCTTGTGGTGGGGCTTTTTGGGGTCGTCTTTTGAGATGGGTTTTTGGAGCTTGAAGTGTACGGAGTCTATGGATCTCGTCGTCTCCCGCTTGTGCCTCCTTGCGTCCTCCAGAACCTTCATTTTTTTTTACATGAAAAGAAATGGGTCAGATTAAAATTTGTTGCAGAGTGAGAGAGGAGAGAGAGAGAGATGGGAGAGATGGAAGAAATGGGACCTGAAAGTAGTCGATTTGGGGGTCGAAGCCATAGTCGCTGAAGTGTTGGGTTTGTGGCATCGGAAAGATTGGTGACTTGTTGGACATTTTGCTCTCTGTTTTTTTTGCTGTTTTTTTTAAGTGCTTTTGGGGGTATCTGCTTTGTGAGAAGGCAGAGGGAGGAGGGAGAGGAGGGGGAAGTGGAGTGGGAAAAGTGGGAGGTTTGGGGGCTCAAGGGTGAGTAATGGCCGTTGGGTGTTGGTAAACCCTAGTAAATGCTGTGTGCACCTTTTAGACTTCCAAGTTCCATTCCATCGACACTATCCTGCCCCCTTTTTATTAATTAACTACATTTAATCTCCTTCACACGCATACGCATGTAAAGATTGTATCTTTTTTCTTTGTCAGAAAGTAAACTTCATTGAAGTAAAGGAAAATTACAAATTGTGATAGATGGATTAAGTCCAAACGAAACACAAAATCGGAAATAAGCAAAGAGAGATAAAAGGAGTGAAAAGGCCCAAGCCGAATGGTAGCTACAACCTAAGATACAGCGAGAGATCCAAACAAACTATTTAGGCAACAAAACAAACAACAAAAATCCTAAATTCAAGCAACAGAACCCAAACCGCGCAGCTACCTCATCCCCAAGGTAACCCATCGCCCTAAAATTAAAAAACACCCAAACTAAAACCTAGACTGAGAGTGCTCAGCAAGGTGAATCCACCAAGAACCACATCCGCAACCACACCTGGAAAGAAGGTCATCAAATATAACAAGGGGGGAGGACCAAGGGTGTGTGTAAAACACCTTGTTCTGACGTAAATTATGTCACACGTGGCCCAATATTTTCGGCATATGCCAATTTGACAATGGGTTGTTAGTGTAGGGTCTTGGGTCAAGACCAAGTCCAATACTATGAGATCTAAATCATGATTATGGGGTAAAAAAGAGGAGGGGAGCAAAGGAGAGGAAGGAAAAGCACGACTAGATAAGAGGGAGGAAGGAAAACTAAAAAACAAAAGGTACTGAAAACTGACGAAGAATGCCAGAGACGTGGTGATGAATGCTGAAGAAAGGGCATAAAGTCCAAATCTAAGACAAGCTCATAGAAAATTGACACCAAACTCAAAGAAAATTGAAATAAAACTCGAAAGACGAACTTAGAAGGGATCTGCATTCGCCTTTCCACTTCTACAATCGAGAATAGGTCTGTTTCAAAAACCTCCACCTTTTCTGATGATATTTAAAAAAATGGGAAGAAAAATGGAGTGCAGCTTGTAGAGCACATGTAACGCACAGTTGGGTTTCTCGCGACGAAAAGAATGTCATCAGATATGAAATTCCGAATGTATCTGTCGCCAACTAAATGATCAAATTGTAATTAGAATGCATTGTATGTCCCATAATAGTTCCCATTCTTCTACCCTTTCTCGGGAGTCTATGACTATTCATAGCTATTACCTTGACACCAAAGAAGGCAATTACCTCTTTCTTACCCCACGCCTTCTGCCTCGATTCGGATGATGCATTCCATTTTGTTGGAAGCAATTCAAGGACCTGATTGATGCCGCATCTTTTGGTCTTGGTTCCTTGAACGAAAGGTACGAAATAAATCAGATTGATTAATCAATTCATAGGGTCTTAACAAGAGAATTCCTATCAATAATAAAGAAAACAGCAGTAAAACCACATTACGGGAGCAACCTAAACCATGAAAACAGGGTTATGCGAGAGCAATACAAGTGCTGTGCTGCTAGGCGGGCTTTGACTATCAAAGGTAAAAAATATGGTTGGCTAAAAAAAGGGGAGAGAGGAGTAAAGTTTAACCAAAGAAAAGAAGTTGTTTCTATCTACTATTATCTAAAAATAATCAAGTTTATTAATGACTGGACAAAACCAAGAAATAACCCCTCACGTGTGAAATTATACCCCATGGACCCTTCCCATTTTACCCTCCCTCAAGTTTCCCAAGATGTTCTTTGGAACGAACTCAAGGATGAGGTGAAGCTAGGCTATGCTTGGTCACCAGAATGTAATATCAGGACAAGTCATGGTCTAAGTCCCTATCTTCCTGTTAGCAGAGGAAGTAAAGTTCTACGTTTTTTATGGTATCCAAGTTGAGAGAGATAAATTGAACAAGTATGACCGCCCTCTATTGGGATGTACTTTAAAACCAAAATTGGGGTTATCCGCCCCAGAAGAATCGATCGGCATGTTGACCAGCTCATCCGCGAGTATGCTCTTAACATGTGTTTAATCAGTTTCAGTGATTGAATTCGAGTCCACAAGACTCATAACAAAACCTTCGAGCCCTTTTCTCTATCGATTCAAGCCACTTCAACATGCGCCCTTGATTTAAGGACGCCGACGGCGCAGAACGCACTAATCCGCGACCAGCAAGTTTTCCGAAACTAAACATTCATTATTCGAAGGGAAATAGACTACTCAAGAATTTCACATTTCATTTATTTTCTGTAACCAAAAAGAGAGAAAAAGGGAAGAAAGCAGGAGGGAAGGAGGAGAAAAAAAAAGGGGGGTGGGGCAGGTGGGGGTTTGCCACCGGCACCCAAGCTAGGGCTATGTGTTTTTAGCGACATAAAGAAGGCTAGCCTCCATGTAAAGACTGTATTGGAGGTGCATATGATGTTTTATTTCTGAGGCTTATATGAATTCTTGTGCTGAGTGGCTCCTCCATGCTATATAGTAATACAAGCAAGCAATTTACAATAGTAGACATATACTCTCTTAGAGTAGAAAATGTACCAATGGAGGAACTAATGAATTTTTGAATCTGTGAAGCACTTTGAAGAAGAAAAAAAAAAGTTGTCTATGAACTCAAAACATTCTCCAACAAAGTATAAACTACTTCACTATATTATATGGAAAACTGGTCATGCGCATTGATTGTTTACACAATTGTACAAATTGAATCGAGTCGAGTGGGAATTAATAGGAAATGTTTGTGTGGAATAATTCACCATAACCTACTAACGGTTTGATAATGTTACAGACTTTTTTGAAATAGCTAAAAGCATTCATAACATCGTTTTATAAAATAAAGAGAAGAAAAAATGCTTGTAGGTCATGGAACACTACTAGGTCTCTTCATAAGCAATTCCAAGTGTTTATTCATGAGATACTTGAATTATTTTCATAAAAACTTGGACATGTTACTACACATATAGATCAATCTCAAACGAATTAGTGATTGGTGTGAAATGGCATAGATATGTCAATTTTGAAGACGCTTTTAGAAGTACTAAAAGCTTGTAAAGAATCTCTAAAACTAAAATTCTTACAGAAAAACAGTCAGTCAAAATATAGTCACAACTCACAAACATCACAAAAATGAGAAATGTATAGTTTACAAGTAACAAGGTAGAATAATAGAAGTTAGGTACCTTTGCTCTCAAATCCCCAAGCAACCTAATCACCTTGGAGATCCATATATCATGCATATGTTTAGTTTAATACTTTGATTATTCAATAGAAACCAAATCACGTGACCTCCATACAATCTTTGCTATTTTAATGTACACAAAATTAAAAGAAAAATGGAGAGCAAAACCCACGGGGTTCATATTGCAGCATTAAAATTGTCTATGTAACCTCAAAGTGCGAACAAAGAAAAACTCACTCACATCACGTACATGGTCACATGTGGGTGTGGGGATGTAAGAATATCGGTGGACATCGCATCCCACTCAACCTTTGTCAAATAGTTCTCACGACCGATGACTGATCGACCAATTTGGTCATGTGCTTTTCAACTGCATGCATGCATGTTGCTGCACTCGCTTCGTGAGATCGATATATTTCCATGTGAAAGATCTTAGTGCAAGAAGTTTTTCTACTTCAGGTGAAGAAAGTAAGAATCAAACTCTTGTTGTGAGTGTGAGGATTGGTGTTCTACCGCTGAAACTACAAGTCCACATTAAAAAATATTAGAAATAAGTATAACACCACCACCAAGCACCGCCTTTCCTTTCTTTTGTTTTTTATGTTTTTTTTAGATGGAACTAAGAATGTCCTACATAAGTCAAAGCATCGACAACAAAGTTAGCTTCCCGATAAATGTAGCAAAGCTAAATACAATGAAATATGCATACCAACTTTTGAACATCCGTCAGTGACATCATGAAGACCTTTGAATCCACCTCCAACTTTCCTTGGACAAAGCCATTTATTTTTATGTTGAAAAAAACTACGTTATGGATTTTTTTTTCTTTTTCTGGTGAATTAAATTTAACAGAAGAAGACTGTTGCTAAAGCCCAGCAAGTAAGCTTCATGTTTACTATTTGTCTCACTGGTCTGAAATAGGCCCACCCAGTTTACTCCACCATATTGCTTAAAGGCCCAAAACTCTTTGATGCGTTATGGGCCAAACGCCCCCAAGTATTAGTTAGCCCCCAATTACTTAGATTCATAAATATTAATTGTGTTGTTAATTTTTAGGGAAAATTTGAAATAGGTCCAATTTTATAGACTTCCTGTTGAAATAGGTCTAATTTTTAGTGACTTTTGACTTTTGAAATAGTACCAATTTTTAGTTACTTTGGACCCATTTCAAAAAACCCCTAATTTTTATCATAACACGTGAATTAGTAAAATTTTAAATTTTAGTACAAATCTATTCCCAATATTGAGAAAAGATTAGCAAGAATTGACAAGATTTTTTGAAAGCAAAATTTATCTCCACATTAGGAAGAAGCACTTTTTTGTAAAAATTGAGTGAGACCAACTCTATGCAGGTGGGATAAGAACACAAAATTTTGGCTTGTTTATTAAGTAGTGTCGCATAGCTTACGTGATTTGAGTTTTTGCACCCATAAATTTTTCGGTTCAAAAGGCCAAATTTGAAACCTCCTAGCCTCTTTTGTATCAAAGGGATTTCATCAACGACACAAATCTACTTGATGAAATTCTCCATATGAGGTATTCAAATCTCACTTGGTTTGGACAATGCCGATAACACACCGACCGAACCGATCCAATCTCAATCTGAATCTCAATCCCATCATCCTTGTCAATTTAGAAGACACTGTCCCAACCAGTTGGGATGACACACCCCGACTGAAATTAAGGCGTACTGGCTACGTCACGTTAAGTCGATTTTAATTGATCGTGCTACTGTGGTAGAGCGGACCCGGGTTGTGGTGGAGGCCCGGTCAGGGATGTGACATAGGAACTTGGGATACTATCTCCTAATCCATCTCTTTGTGTTTCCCCATTTGTCAACATCTAGTTTCTTAATAGTTTCAATATCATGCTTTGTTGGCGGATGGTGGTCTTGGTCTTATATACATATATATTTATATATAACATATGAGATGTATTACCCTATGTTTCGGACACACTAAAAAATTTGTTTCGTATACTCTGCTGAGTTTAACAAGTCTGTGTAGAATTGAGCATGGTGCCCATCAGTGGATAGAGAGAAGAATGGCAGAGAGCGCTGATTGGTTAAAGGTTACGTTCATTGCTCGACTACTAACTTAACCGCAAGATCGAATTGGCACTTAGGAATGGAGAAGCAGAAATCCTCCTTCCCAAAAAAAAAAAAAACAAAGTGTTTTCGCTTTTTCAATTATACTGCCTTTGGTTGCTGCGGCAACCTCGATTTCCAGAAAAGTAGATATTTAACAGAAACACTTATTGAAAATTTGGTTGGTTTAGAAAGGCATGGGAGTCTTTGGGCGTATTTCATACGCTATTTCAACTTTTTTTTATTTTTCTTTCTGAATTGAAATCCCCTTTCCTAATATCTAATATAAAGTGATTGCATTTTTCGGTCTATATGCAGATGTAGCTAATAAACCCATATCTAATGATGCTTTATGTACACTCGGGAGTTTGCAATTCTCTCTAACACAATGACAGAAATACTTCGAGTTAGTCTTATAAAATAAACTTATTTTATAAAATGTTCGCTAATTAAATGATATATTTGCATCCCGGTACATATGCTTTTGTTAATATCTTTATCGCGTCTATCAAAAGTCCACCTTTACGCATGAGTATTCCCATTCGATTGTGAACGAGGAACATCTATCTACTCGGGGCAAAAAACTAATACAAATCTTATTGAAAAAATAAATGAATGATTTATTTATTTTGTCAAAAGGAGGGAAGGGGGGAGGGGAAGCAGACAAGAAAACGTATCGAATTTAGGAGAAACTTAGGGTAGCAAACAAGGGGCTATACAGTCATTTCAGTAAATTCCGCGTCAACCCTGGCAGGCGTCTGAAAGCTGAGACTAAATACAGTAGAAGCCGCGGGGTTTCTCTTTGTGTTTCTGTAATTAAAGGTAATGTTAACCATCTTTAAAAGAGATGTTTTAAACACAAAATTTAAATTTGAAAGCTTAGAGCATCTTTAAAGAAAATGTTAAATTGTTCAAATCAACAATAACGGTAATAAAAGACAACATTAATATTTTCTAACCAAGAAGACAAATCTAATGTGGCATAACATGGATTGACATTTCTCCCCTTTGCTACCAAATTTGACAGCACATTTAGATTTTTTTTAATTAATTATTAAATGCTTTTTATTAATTTTTTTATTAGTTTAAAGCATTATCCTTTTTTCTGTTTTCATTCCCAATTCAAAGAAAGTATATGAATTATTATTTTATGTTTAAAATTTGACATATCAGCTGAGAGCAAAAGTAAAAGATGTCAAAATACCATATAAGCCTTTAAATTTAAATTTTAGGTTTAAAATTTTATATCTCTTTTGGAGATGGTCTTATGTGGTACATTGATCTTTTTATAAATTTTGCTCTCCAACCGATGTGTCAAATTTAAACTATTATTTACTTTTTATAATTATAATTAGTATTTTAAAACAAAAGATAACTATTAAAATTATAAAAAACATTTATTAATTACTAAAAATAGATGTGAAGCTGTTGTGAAATTTGACAACAACTTCCTCTGCTGATTTTCCGTATCATGCAATAGAAATTGACATTTCAGTTGAAAAACACTAGTAATATCTTTTATTACTGTTATTGTTGATGTGGATTTTTTAACATCTCTTTTAGAGACTAAATTTTTAGAGATTAAATTTACAACTAAATAATATGTCACCAATAAAAATAAATACATTTATTAATGTGTAAATAATAAATCAATCATCAAATTTTCTTGCTTTTAATTTTTAAAATTTTATCGACCAATTTAGTTTTCATAGTATTACTCGTAATTAAATAGTAATCAGTAGGAAAACAGAGAGCAGCAGTTAACGCTAAATGAAAGTATCAAGAACCTTCCCCTCAGTCTCCAACTCCGACTTTTCCCCTCTCCTCTTTATTAATATTCGCCATACCCATAACGCCCACTTCATATTCTTTCTTTCTTTCCATTTCTCTCAGACAAACCATCATACACCTTCCCTGTGCTCCAACCATGGGCCGCCCCGTGGAGCCCGAGCAGATCGAGCAGCCCCACACCGTCCGCCTGCCGCTCGAGCAGTACGGCCCCGCCCCCCAGCAGGGATACTCCCTCAGCGGCAAGATCATGCTCAGCGCCATCGTCATCCTCTTTTTCGTCGTCATCCTCATGGTCTGCCTCCACCTCTACGCCCGCTGGTACCTTCTTCGCGCCCGCCGCCGCCGTCTCCGCCGCAACCACAGAAACCGCCGCACCCACATCGTCTTTCACGAGGACGCCGCTGCCCTGTCCGCCGCCCCCACCCGCGGCCTCGACGCCTCCGTCCTCAACTCCCTCCCCGTATTTGTTTATTCGTCGAAATTGGATCAGACGGCGTTGTTTCAGCAGCAGCCGATTTTGGAGTGCGCCGTCTGCTTGTCGGAATTCGAGGACGACGAAACGGGGCGTTTGCTTCCGAAGTGTAAGCACAGCTTCCACATCGAGTGTATTGATATGTGGTTCCATTCTCACTCCACGTGTCCCCTTTGCCGGGCCCCCGTGGAACTGAGCCCGGAGTCTGAAACCCGGCCCGACGTGCTTCTTAGTGTCTGTGAACCTGACGGAGGCGAACCGGGTCCGCGCTCCGATTTGTGCTCGGAGTGTTGCAATTCCGAGACGACGTCGTCAGGGGCGTGGAGAAAGCCGTCGAACATCGTGGTTCCGAGAAGGAACGAGAGTTTCGGGAGGGGGGAGGACTCCGGACGCGGCGAATCACCGGCAGGTCAGTCTTTTAGGTCGCCGATGAGTCGGATGTTGTCATTTAGGAGAATACTAAGCCGGGAAAGACGAAACGGCGGCGTTTCACCTTCGGGAGTAAACGCGGGGAGTTGCAGTTCGGTGGCCGAGTCGGATATCGAACTCGGTGGCCGACAAGGGACCACCGAGTGCACTAGGAGGGAGTAAAAAGATGGTGACGTGGCGGTAATTTTATCGAAATTTTGCGGGCAGAGACATCCGGCGGCCATTAGTCAGTCAAATAGTCAATGCCAAACGGGGCAAATGTGGAAATTAAATTTACACGTGGCGCGATTGTGGCAGTAGTGGAAATTCTCGGTGTTTATGGACGTGTATAAAAATTTTATTTATTTTTCCTTCATCACGTAAATTTTTGTTTTCCTTCGATTTTATCTTCTTTTTTTTTTTTTTATTATACAAATATATTGGTACAAAAATTGGAATGCAAGAATTCTTTTGGGGTGTTTTGAAATTTCAAATGAATGTGTTAAGTGGGTAACAATTAACCAAAAAAGAGGGAGCAAGTAAATGGAGACAAAGAGAATATTTGCAAAAATGATTTGGTTTTGGCATAAATTTGGCTGATTCCATTTGGATATTTCAGAACTTGATGTTGTATAATTCAAAAATTTGACCGTAAGAGTGAATGATCTTAACCAACTAAGTTGCAATTTTCGTGTGTTAGAACAAAAGAAAAAAAAAAAAAAGTTATAACTTTCGTGTGTGTGTTTTTTCTTATTAGAATTGAAAATTTTCGATGAAAATGAGCTACAATACCCCTAGTATCAATGAAGACAAATGGCATCGTTAGGAGACAAGTTTTGTAACTATGTCTTGCCATCAGGTGCATAATATTTGTGTATGTGACTATGTCTCTTAAGCATGCGTATAATTTTTTCTTTTTTAAACAAACGATATTATTTACACTAAAAACGTGGGGAAAGTAGGTTAAGGCTCATAATAAGTTAGCAATAATGTGGTTTAGATTCACTTTTGATGAAAATCGAACCTTTGATTTCTCACTTACAAGTGAAAAGGAATGTCATTAGACAATAATTGACAAGTGAAAAGGAATGTCATTAGACAATAATTGACAAGCAGATGTATAATTTATATTTATTTTATCATCAGATATATACAATCATATGTACGGATGTATCTTATTTAGTATGTGACCAAATACTAATAACGTAAATATACTCACACGACATATGCATGGTGGAAACTTCAACTTCGTACATACTAATTTATCATCTTAGCTGGCCTATATTGGTGTAAATATTTTTCCAAGTGATGTGGAAATAAGAACAAAAGTTTTGGTGGTTCAGTGAGTCATTACTTTGTTGCTTTCCAGTTGTTATGAAAGAATAATATATATAATTACAGAAGTTCTTTGAATGATTGAAAAATAGGTCCATTAAGTAAAATTTAATAGTTTAGTTGTTGAGGAAGTGAAATATCTTATAAAAAGAAATCACATGGAAAATCAAAGACACTTTGTAAACATTGAAGAAGAAAATAATAAACTGAGATAGGAGATTGTAATTGAATCTAAATTTGAGGGTACAAAATATAATTTATCCATAATAAATGAGAGACCACCGTCACCAGTGGCAGCAACAAGATGCACGATAATCTTGCTTGCAACAATTTATTCTTTCCTTTATGTTTGCCCATATTTCATGTAAGAATTGTAATTTTATTCTATGACGAATCTAAATTCCTTAATTTTCAATGTTATTAGTATTTTCATTTCTTTGGAAACCTTCTTAAATAAATCATAGGATAATATATTAGATTCATCCAAAATATGGTAGGTGAAAATCGGAATTCGAATTTAGACGCATAAAAAGTGCCAGTCAAATTGACTAAGGTTTTTACTACTTAAAATAACTATATAAAAAAACCTGGTTCATAAGTAAAAAATTAAATTAAATCTTCCTTGACACGTTCTTTCGACCATGATTTCATCTGAGTCTCAATCAATATGCAGCACCCAGAAAAGAAACAAAATATTGTCCATCTCGTTCTCAATCTATTGACTTCTTGTCATCGATGAATAATGCTACTTACATACTTATTTTTACTTTTTACATTTATTTTTTAGTTTTTGATCTTAAGATTGAATAAATTGAAAAAAATTAATGATTAAAAACTAATAAAAGTATGTGAAAAGTAAAAACGAGTGTATAAATAGCATTATCCAAAAAGAAAAGACAAGATAAATATGTTTCATTTCCAGGGAATTCATAACACATATTACGATATTTAGGGATTGATGAGTGCTCGGATTAAATTAAATTGGATAACTTGTGCAATTTAAGATATATTGAAGGTAGAGTTATAAAGGTAAATTATTTTTATTTTATTATGTAGATATTTTTTTTAGTACTACGATATATTTTATACTAAGGAAACGAGAGAGTTCGGTTAAACCACATAATTGACAACCTAATTTGGTACTGAATTCACTATCCACGAGATTCGAACCTAAGACTTCTCACTTACAAGTGAAGAGGAATATCATCAGACGATAATACTGAATGGCGAAGAGATTAGACTTAAAGAAAACACGTTATTGTTAATTCTAATATTTTTTCAATATCGGAATGATAAATTTTCTTAATACTATGTCATTAAAAATATAGTGAATAATAATTGTCTCATCTCATGGATACATGACGGAGTTAGAATTTTATAAAAAAAAATAATCGTAAATTTGGTAAAAATACTTTATTAAATTTATTTCGTTGAGCTCGTAGCAAGTACCTACCTAGTTATGCTGAGTTCGATCGATTTCTGCCAAAACATGAGAGTTATGAAGCTATTGGGACATGAATAGCCAATAACTCATGTTGGCTCCACCACTGCATGCATACATGTCCTCGCTGTCGTCTATATTTGACCCGTTAATACCGTAGAGTGGCTTACCAAAGTATGCTATCGTTACAAAAATATGACCTCAACTATTACTTTTTTATTGTCGTCACAAACTAATTGATCGTATAAAAATTTGTTTCAATAATTATTATTATTATTATTTTTTTTGCTGCTGGGGTTGAAATTAAGGTCTAAAAGTTAGTGATTTTTACAATCTTTTTTTATAAATTTATCGAAGAATGTTGAAGTTTTATCAAAAAAATTTATGAAAAATTAAGGAGAGTAGTCTAGTTAAGCGTACGTAAAAATCTATCATTTCATTAATAGGTGATTTATTTTAAACATTTACGCACTACAAAGTCCGATTTGTAAGTGTTAAAAATTAACAAAATATTCATTTTGACGTGTAAACAACTAAAGAAGAGTACTAAAATCCGTTTTGGGAAATTAAAGATTAAACAATCCGGTTCCCTGAGCTCCGTAACAAAGCACAACATGAAAAAGAGAAAGGATTCTCGTCGGATTTTTTTGTGAGAATTTTAAGAATTTTTTAATTACATTCGTTTATTATGTATCATACAGTTATTTTTTATTAAATATTATTCATATTTAATTTTAAATTAAAATTTTATAATAATTTTTAATCATATAATCTACTATAAAATTTTGGAATCTTACTCCTTGAAAAATATTCAGGGTTTCCTGTTTAGGGTTTTTGACCTAATCTCCTGAAAAAACACGTCGGGTTGGCTTTTCCCACACGGCACGCGCTTTGTTAGTCGTGATGTCTGTATCTTGACTCGTGGTTTTCGCCTTGCCTGACTTTGCCACGAAAAATGGAGCAAGTAATGTTGACGGTGACATTGACTCATATCAAATGCTGCTACGACACGTCAATTGACACAGCTTTTGACTTGGACCAATGTAGTTGTTGAAAAACCCAAAGCTACCTTTGCCACACCATAGGCTCGTATTTTACTTTGACGTAAGCTCAATGATGAGAGTGTGTTTGACTAATTGTCATGGTTGTTAGGCTTGAGAGGGATTTGGATCCTCTCTAGAGCTCAAAGAGAGAATCCTTGGGATTAACATATATGGATGATTAGATTTTTATCTAACAATTATAAATAGAAAGTTTTTTTAAAGTTAATAATTATAACCGTTGAATTTTCATCCAACGGCTCACATATATTGGTCAGGAAGATCCTCTCCTTAGGCTTTAGAGAGGATTCAAATCCAATTTGAGAGATCAACGTGTTAGATGTTAGACCTTATTAAGATATGGAGAAATTAGGTTTTAATAAACGTCATTAATTATTCAAAAATAAAATATTTACATGTCAACATAATTAAGTTTTACTTTTAAATATATTCATTTAGTGTTGGAAACGTTACATTTGATATATTATATTTATGGCTAAGCTTTTTATCATATATTTCTATTTATAGTTTGTACCCATTTTTAGTTTGCAATCATTTTTTAAATTGTACCAATTTTTTTAAAATTTTAATTTGTACCCATATATTAATTTCTTTGTGTCCCTTATTTTTTTTAACTTTTATTTGTACTCATAATGTTTTTAGCCTTTTATTTGTACCCATAATTTATTTATAACGTACCCATTTTTTTTTTTCCAATGTACCACTTTGTTATATGTAAAATGTATCACTATTTTTTTTGTAAGTGCCATTTTTTTATGTAAAATGTACCTATTTTTTAATGTAAAATCTATTTATTTTTTAATCTAAAATGTACCATTGTTTTTTACACACCCCGGTCGAGATCAGGGCATGCTGGCCGTCACGTGGAAGTGACGTAGCCATGTGCACAGTGCGGAAGCTAATAAAATAATAATAAAAATAATACGAATAAATAAAATCCAGCTTAACACGAGGTAATAACATACATGTGCAAGCAAAGTGTGTAAACAAAGTTCAGAGCAAGAAAACCTAATGCAGTCCGGGAGAAAACGACACAACAAAAGTACACCCGAAGGTGGTCCTACTGGTGTCAGTCTGTCAGATATGTCGGGGAAGACCTCGGGGAAGCCACCAAAAGTGCTAGCCAACTAGAACCTGGAGGGGCGCAAAACAAAAGCGTGAGTGGGCAAAAACAAAGCTTTTCAAAAACCATTTCAAAAACAAGATTCTAACCCCTCACCGTAAAACATGTATACTTCCCAGAAAATAGCATATACATATATATAAGTCATGCTCGGAAAACATGTCATGCCAAATGCCTCGAAGTAATATGCAAGTGCTCAGGAAAAATCAATCAATACCATGTAAATTGTCAGTCGGAGTCACCTAACGTGACCTGTACGGCTGAATCTAGAGCTCGAATCTCCATCTCACTAACTATACCTGCACACGAGTCGAAACCACCTAAAGTGGTCTGTACGACAAGCCTGGGTGTAATATAAGTACGCTCAAGTGCTACGATCATGTGAAGGCTGGGCAAATAATCGCGGGTTACCTACG